ATCTGCATAACTTGCTATATAGAATTATACGTATAAAAAATAGCTTTCATTAGCCAGTGCCCTGTGATTCTTGCTCCTTTGGGGCTCATCTTAGGAGATGCATTGATGGAGAACGTAACTCTCTTTGATTTACTCCCTTGAACTGCTCTTGTGATTCTTTCGGAAGCATGAAGTTTGAAGTTTTGGGCAACATGAAAAAAATTTGAATTTTTTTCAGAAATTCAATGATTTTTTGAAAACAATTCAATTCAAATTTCAGTGAAGATCTCAATATTCAAATGTTCTGTTCATATTTCATGGAAGTTCATTGTCCATTTGAAAACAATGAACTTACGAACTTACGAACACAACATTTGAATATTGAATTCTTTACTGAACATTTGAATTGAATTTTTTTCAAAAAATCATTGAATTTTTGAAAAAAATTCAATGATTTTTTGAAAAGAATTCAATTCAAATGCCAGTGAAGAATTCAATATTCAAATGTTTTGTTCTATGTCATGGAAGTTCATTGTCTTTAAAAGGTTTTAGTTCACTGTCTTTGAAGTAAAATGAGTGAAATAAATATTTCACTTAACATTTAGTCAGCACATTCGGCACTTCCATTACCTAAGAGGGGGTCGCAACTGGACCCCCTTGAGATAAGGGGGTGACCCCCTTGAGAAAAGGGGGTCGCAAAAACCCTGAAAATGTTCGAACGTGACGGTTGACCCTGCTTTCAACTCTGTCGGATACGGCGCATATTCTGAGTTAATGGCGTCCGTTCCGCAAAAAACACAGCGCATCTGTCGTTCTTCACGACGATAAACACCTGACCTGTATTCTCGGGGGCGACACGTCCTTTTGCGTGCGAGTTCGCGTCTGTGACGGCTGACTTCTTCTAAGTCGGCTTCCAACGCTTCAATCTCTCTATCAAGCGCTGCGTCTTCGTCTTCCATGTCTTCGTCGGCTTCGGCTGTTTCCATGAATTCGGCGTTGTTTGCTATTATTGCTCGTTCTTCATTTATTCTAGCTTCGATTGCGACGGAAGCCATTTCTGGGCGTGGCGCGTTCTGAACTGCTTCCAAACGTTCGATTTTCCCGTGCATTTGCTTCATTGTTTCTTCCATTGTCTTTATAGCGTTCAGGATCTCTTTCTGAGTTGTTTCCTGCAGCGTTCGTTCTTGGGTTAGGCAATCGGATTTTAATTGTCGAAGAGTATCGAAGAATTCTTCAATTCCCTGGAGTTGATCCTTGATGATTTTTTCCATATCCGATTGACTAATCAGTAGAGGTTTTTTGTGGCCGTCGTGCGAGGTGTATTCTTGAGGGATTTCCATTCTTGACTGCCATGCTCCCATTGATGTCGCCTTCGTCGCAATAAGGAGAGGAACGGTGGAGTACAACAAGCATAAGTGTTTAGAAAGGAATTGGAGACGAGTTTTACAATTCTCAACTCTTAGCTCAATAATGTACGCATCACGCTCTAATTCACTATATGATAAATTGCGATGATAGAAAACATTGACGTCCTGTTTGAGACGGTCGAAACGTTCGATGGTGTGCATGACGTTATGCAATTAATCACGATGTCGTCGTGTAATTTGCTTGGTGGTGGTAGCGGTGGTAGTGCTGCCTCGTTTGAGTTCTTTTTTGACGTTTTCGTAACGCTTGTCCATGTCTAAATGTTGATGGATATACGTTGGTGTTGTATGAGAAACAGTTATTAATGATTGATTCTAATTGTGTTCACTATCGCCTTATTTTGCTACTTCGAATGATGCGAGAGGATGGTGCGCTTAGTAGTAACATTTTTTTGGTTATTATTACATTTTTGTTTGTGAGAAATTCGCAGAAATTGAAGAAGGAAATACCATGAAATAAAACCATGAGATAGCCCATGATAGGTACCATGAATAGCCATGAAATAGTATCGCCGTAGTGAAGTCGATAAGGTATTCGCATATTTTACCTCAGATTATTTGGCGGAAATCCGAAGTGGTGGAGTTGTTTGATATTTCGCTTGACTTTGCAGAAGCGCGTTCCGTTCCTAGGTAAGTCGCATTTAGATGGCGTTGAAAACTTTTCGCAATTGAGTATTACCTTAATCGGTTTTCCCGAGTTTCGTAATGGATTCGCAACGGCGTAACTGATGAAGAATTCGCCAGAAGTGCTGAAGTGAGAAAGTTCAAGATGAGTCGATGATCTTGTTTATATAGAAGAGATACCTTAGCGCGGTGAAATACGACTATCGTCTCGCGTATTAATTGCAGTGGTTGTCTTCAATTTGACCCTAAACTAATAACTGATGAGGGAGAAGGATAGGTGTAGTGTAGCAAGCGTATCATGGAAGAATAAGACAATAGTTGGGATGCAATGGTAGTTTGATTACAAAAGTAATGAAATGTTATTGTCCTTGTTTTTGTTCAGTATTGCACCATGAAGTATGAGCCATGAACTAGGAAGTATGTGTAACGAAACGCCAACAATATCGCAGATGGGGCTATCTTTTAAATTGTGCAGCGAAAATATGAAAGTGTGGCTGCGGTGTTTCATACCGACTTAATGCAAAAGTCTATATTATGTGTCCTATTCGCAGTATTTGATCATTCGCGTATTAGATCGCAAAAAATCGCATCACAGATCCTTTTGATAAAACTGTGAGCAAGTAGAATGAACTCTTTTATGATACCGCGCATTAGTGAGGTCATATATCAGTTTTGATTGATCCCCAAATTTGGACTTGAGTGCCCTTATTGCGGCCTCATAATTCTCGTCCGTGACGGGGTAACGTTTGATCGCCTCTTTTGCATCTCCTTTTAGGCTGAGCAGAAGATAATTGAATTTTTGAAGATTTGAGAGGTTCTGCTGGTGACATTGGCACTAAAAAGTGCCCAGAAGTTCTCGAAGTCTTTTATTCTTCCCGTGAAAGTTGGAATTGGAACAGCTGGAAGTTCCACTTTAGCACATGGTATTTCTCTCGCACCTGATTCGCTGTGTGAAGAGGTTGTTGATGTTGATGCTATTAAAGACCTTTCGCCTTTTATTTCTATTTTTAGCCTCTTTGCAGCTTCGAGTGTTGTATGGGCTTTTGTGATGTAGTCCTCTATTTGGGATTCCTGTTCGCTGCTTAGCGGTCCCTCTTGGTGGTCCACAGTGATCGTAAAGTCCCGTAGCATTTCTGATACCTGAGCTATTGATTCATCGAGTCGTGAATCCATTGTATCAAGGGATTGTAGGGTTCGCACTGATTGTATCTCGCCTGTGTATTTCGCAATAAGTTGGTTTAGTATGTTGCAGTATCGCGTCAGCAATCTTTTTTGGGAGCTTAACTCGGTAGCACCCGTCATTTTTCAAGAGAAGGTATCGCAAAACTGGTGGCTTCGCATAGATTGACAGTTTGCAAGCTAGCGTGTTGTTTGTGTAAAATTTCGTACCTGTACCAGGGATCGTCCCTATCGTTCGCTGACATTTGCTCAACTTTTTTTACCCGACCTGCCGTCCCTGCCATTTTGTGCGATTTTGGCTACGACCTCCCCTGGTGTCAAATTTTTATGAAGAGCACATTTCATTAAAATTGTTATTATTTCATGTTTTGATTCTCTTATAATGAGGTTTCTTTACCTGGAAAAGTAGTATTACTTAAAGAATCATTTCAAACCTTCACGAGATCAGGACTAAACTAAACAAAATGCGCAGGCTTAGTCCCAGAGACGTTTCTACAGAGTGTCCCCCCCCCAGCCACATTGTGCCCAAAATCCTACTGGTGAGTTTTCATAGGAGATTCAGAGTACGTCATTAAGCATTCTCCGCTGGAGAAAACGGGTGGGTTGTGGCGTCATATTATGGAGAAGTGGGGGAAATGATTGAGAATGCCGAGAAGGTAGTGGAAACGCGTGTTGACAGGTTTCGAATGTATTGAATCGCGCGCTGGGTGCTGCAATGGGGCGCGTTTGTTGAATGGGAGCAGGTGTCGAAAGAAATGGGAAATCGAGAAGTATAGGAACTTTTCCTTGGAAAATTTCAGGTTTCTCGCAAGACGGAGGTGGATTTTGGATCAGCAAGGGTCATCCTTCTCAAGTGGAGCGGATTTGTTCTTAAACAATCTGAAATAATTAAGTTATTGAGCAGGAAATGAGTTTGCACTACAATTTCCACCTTCCTCTTTTTCGGGCTATAACTTTCTTCATATTCGATCTTTTGTGTCGGAGTTATTTGATAAAAATTCAAATCATTCTCTCTCCAATCATATCTGAAAATTCATCGAAAGCTAATTTAGTAAAAATTTAACACGTTGGAACTTTTTTCTGTGCAAACGCGACTTTTCAATATTTAAACGACCATAACTTCCTTCAAACATGAACGTTTTGTGCGCGACTCCATTTATTTGGGAATCTTGAAACTCCGCGTTATGTAGAAACCTACGGATTTCCAAGGCTTGCGTTAAAAGTTGACCTTCCTGCCCATTAACGTTTTTTGAATAGTGAGTAAATCTCTAAAACTCTACTCCCGTTCTGAACATTTGGCGGGGTATCGATCGGAACGTAATTTTTGTCTGCAGACCGTGTGACTTCGCTTTGCAACTTTCAAACACCGCGTGTATACTTCTTCAAACTCATTTATTTGGGAAGCCGGTCTTGAACGAGGAGTATGAGGAGAAGCCTGGACAGGAACTTCGAGCTTCCTATAAATATTACCGAACGTGCTTGAAAAAGAGGTAATTCGAATATAATTAGTCGCCGTTGTTACATTTTTTTGAGGGGGCATTTTCTCCGAGGCCATTTTACTTAAGAAAGCCGGGCGTCTTTTTTTTCTCAGTTTCACTGTTGCCGCTAATCGTCTCAGGGAAAATGATATCCGTGCCTACCCATAGGATGTGTTTAGATGATGTTTGTGCAGTTTCGATTGCCAGTCGAGTTTCCAGTCCCTGTCCTTTGGTGTGCGCCACGGCCGGCGGTCTGCATCTGATGATTCGCTGACTCATTTGAAAGCTCATTCAGAAGGAAGCGGCTTACAGATGCTCTAGCATCAATTATCTTACGTAAACGTAATGTGGTGACTATTGTCCATGTTGTCTTAGGCAATACTCCAGCTACACTTTAGTTTCAAATGTGGTTTCGTGGGTGGACCCATGTCATGGTGGGAGTACTTCTTTGAACGATGCTACATGTCTTGCAGCTGCTGTTTCTGCAAGTCTTCCTTTCTCATGCTCTTCCTGAAACATGGTTATGATCAGTAGGGAGATTACCACAAATCCTACTGCCGGCCACCGGAGAGTAGCCGTAGCGGAACCTTCGTGAGTCCCGCCACTCTCCGGATCACTCCACCGACTCGATCCCCCCGTTGCTACTTGTAGGCAAATAAGGGGTATTGATCACGCTGGCCGTGTGAAACGTCGTTTGCCGTGTCCGGTTTCCTTGCGTTTGGACGGCGGATGCCACCATGAAGTTGTGATAGTTGATGTGCGTGAATTCGAAGCCCATTGCTTGTATTATTGCTGTTTTGTGTCGTTCCACGCCGGGCTTGTAATTTGACTCAAACATTGGGTAATTAAACTATTCATGTAAGGAACGATTTAACACATACATTCGTCCATGTCACAAAGTTATCTAAGTGGCAACAGTAAGCAAACGTATAAACATTTCTGATACCTTGGTAAGAGTGTATGAGGTCGAGACCAATCTTGGATGTGTAATCAAAGAATCAACTGAGAGCGACGGACCAACAGAACCATGAACAATGATCTGCTGGGTCACAGGTCATGGTTAACGCAGTGATGGAATACAAGAATGTTGCTTTCAAACAAAACATGCTGAATTAGAGTGAGAGGTCTACAGCTAAAAGCAATGAGTAAGCTTTCGCAAGATGGGTAGAGCATGGCTTATGGTGATTCGCAATCTCTGATATCGCAGTATTCTGCAAAGCCCTATCGGAGGGCGCGCGCGGACGACTGTGGTTCTCAAGTATTGTCTCAGCTCGAAGGCTCTTTTATAGCGCCCTTTGGCGCGCGATCACGAGCATAAGTTGACCGCTCCTTTGACTGGCTAATCAGACGATCGGTCAATGACATCGCGGCGTTTCCGCGATATCTTCATCCTCGTTTGGCCTGGATGAGCTTGGTGAAGAGATTGTAGTACGCGACTTTGGAGGGACTTCGGGATAACGAGATGACTTGACGATAGGTCTCTCGGTAGTCGATGGTGATTCTCGTCGATTGTAGTACGGCCAAAGTGGAGAGGCACGATCCATTTTTGGCCAGCTTCCAGATCGAATGCAGTCGATCACTTGAGTCAAGGTACGGTCAGCAGTGGTTGCAGCCTGGATAGATTTGAATGAGACCGGTAGTTGACTGCAATGTCCATTACTTCGGCAGAGACATCAGCGTCAATCCAAGCAATGACCCGGTCGTGGCTCCTGCGAATGGGATCCAATCAGTCGTGAAAGGGCGTCGGCTTGTCCAAACTCGCTCGTCTTGATGTACTGAATGCTGAAGTTGTAGTTCAGCAGCGTAGTTGCCCACCGTTGCAGGCGGTTGGCGGTGTAGATTGGAACTCCTTTTCGACTCCCGAAGATAGAAATGAGCGGCTTGTGGTCCGTCCTCAGCGTGAAGTGACGACCATGTACGAATCGATGGAATTTTTGAACTGCAAAAACGATGGCGAGGGCCTCCTTCTCGATCTGGCTGTACTTCTTCTGTGCTGGTGTCAAGGCGCGACTAGCATGATATACAGCCTTTTCGGATCCGTCGGGAAATCTTTGCGAGAGTACAGCTCCAACTCCGTAGTTGGAAGCATCTGCAGCGACGATAAGTGGCAGAGTAGGATCGTAGTGCGCGAGAAGGAGGTCCGATTTGAGAGTCTTCTTGATCCGATCGAAGCAAGACTGACATTCTGATGACCATATGTAGGCGGAATCCTTTTTGGTGAGCGCATCCAGTGGGGCGCGTAGATTGTGCAGCTCACGAACAAAGGTTCCGTAGAAGTTGACCAAGCCGAGGAAGGCCCTGAGTTGGCTGACGTCCTTGGGGACTGGCATTCTATGGATTGCTTCGATTCTTGGCTGGGTCTGGACGTCGTCCATTGGCATCGATTATGAAGCCAAGGTAGCGGATTTCCGTGCGCAATAGCGAGCACTTTTCCAAGACGAAGGCGGAATCCAAAGTCTTGAATTCTTTGAAAACTGCTTCCAGACGGGCGTTGTGCTCATCGATAGTCTTCCCAGTGACGATGATGTCGTCGAGGTACGCGGCCATCCAATCCTGCAGTCAAGGTGTCCATTTGCTGCTGGAAAGATTGCCGGGCGGCCTTCACTCCAAAAGGTAATCGGTTGAGGCGATAGAGACCGCGATGTGTGTTGATTGTTAGCAGCGGTCGAGATTCTTCATCCACTTCCATCTGCAGGTATGCCTCGGCCAAGTTCAGTTGAGAGAAGTACTTAAAGGACGAATTCACGCTG